GTCGGGTCCCCGAGGGAAGCGGGGTCCCTGCCCGCAGGGTGCAGGAGCAGCAAATGCCCGGGGCTGTGCCGCATGTTTTATGTGTTCACGCCTGTTACGTTCCCACTCACACCGTCCTTAGCAGCGGCCCTTGGGGAATGGCTGGATGGGGGGCATACGTGATCCCCCACCTTCCCCCAGCCCTGGGTGGCTCTTGGCCCTGCCAGCAGAGCAGAGCTTTCTTCCAAGGCTGTGTGACAGTCCCAGCAGTGTGTCACTGTGCTTTGCTCGTGGCTCTTTACCTCTCCACAGCTGGCAGAGAGGGCTGGACTTCTCCTCCTGTGGCCAGTGGGAGGAAGCCAACACCTGCTGTTTGAAAGCCGTCAACCTGGATCTGCAGAGGGTAAGAACTCCCCAGAGGGCTAGGGATACACCAGGCTGGGAGTGGGAGAAGGGAGGCAGTGTCATTAAGGCTGGCTCTCAAGCTGGCATCAGGCTTCAGGATGCTGTTAACCTCTTGCCAGGCTGATCCCAGGTAGTTTGAGGAGGGCTGGGCTGGGCCAATGTGGGCTGAGGGTTGTCTGTGGTGCAGGCAGAGCTGTATGAACAGTGGGCAGAGTCCTTCCTTCAGCTCTCTGACTTCCAGTTAGCCACGCTGAGCTTCAGGAAGGTGCTCACGGTAGTGGCTGCACGGAGGCAGCCCTGCCTGGCTTGCCTGGCCATTGTCCTTGACCTGCAGGTCAGCCACCACTCCTCTCCCCCTTTCTGCAGCCTCGGCCTGTGGCCGAGCAGGGCTTCCCTGCAGGACTAATGTCTGCTTGCCCAGGAGCTCTATGGTGAGGCCCTGGAGGCCTTCACACAGGCAGCCTCACCACAAGGTGTTTTGCCAGAGGACATAAAGCCAGGGCAGTGCTAGGCTGTATGGCTCAGCTGGCCCTGCTGTGGGCTGCCTCCAGCCTCGCCCATCTCCTCTTGCAGCATCGTGTGTTTTGCAGCTCTCAGCAAGTTTTCAGAGTGGCATCTGGATGCTAAACAGAGACCTGGAGGAGGACGTGAGGAGCCCTGATCCGTACATGCTCCATGCCTCCTTCTATGAATGCTTTGGGCAGGTACAGCCGCTCCAGTCCCTGAGGGGCCCTGCTGCACCTCTGGAGCTGGAGCTGCAGCACGGAGCTGCCCAGTCCCTGAGGCAGAGGCTGCTGAGATGGGGCCAGGAGGCCAAGGCTGAGGCGGTATCTGACGCTCTGTGTGGGGACCTGTGCGGGTTCTGCTGAAGATCAGCTTCACCGTAGAGTGACCCCTCAGCCACTGAATTCTTCACCCTCACAGCCGGTTGTCTGCATTGGCCTCTGAGCTCTCCTGTCTCTGTCCCTGTGTCACAGGGGGACACTCCTTTGACGGCTGAAGGACTTCAGTGCCACCTGTGAGGACTTAGCCAGTGTGAGGGAGCTGGGTGCCTTGGGGGGCCAGAGGCCCAGGAGGCTCAGTGGCAGCTGGTGCTCACCTATGATGACTGCACCGTGCACTGCTACACCCTGGGCTGATTTGCTGAGGCTGTGATGCTCCTTGGTGAGGCTCTGTGGGATGAGAGGAGGGAGAAGGGGCTCTGTGTCAACACAGGAGGCGAGCAACTGGGCTGGGGATCACAGCGGGGTCCCCGGGGTGAGGGCTGGGGTGTCAGACAGTAGCGTCAGCACTCAGGCGTTGAGTGTGTGCAGGGGAAGGCCCTGTGCTGGGGTCCTGTGTTAGGGAGCGGTGGCTGAAATGGGCAGTAGGGCCCTGGGATTCTCTCTTGGCCCTGACCCTGGTTCTCAGCTGTGCCTGCCTGGACAGTTCCAGCAGTGGGGAGAGGTACCAGGTGCTGGGATTTACCAGTGGTGATTTGGCTCCCTTCCTGCATGGCCTGTCCTGGGGACATGGCTGGGAATGGCTGCTCTCTTCCAGACTGGGCTGCGTCTCTTGCCCAGCAGAGCTCAGAGCTTTTGGCTAATGAGGCTGAAATCTCTGTGGTTGGAGTGGGCTGGCCACACGCCGTATGTGTTTCCCACTGGCACGGAGAGCTTTAGACAAAGCCCGGGAGTGACAGCCAGCCCCTGGCCGCTCTCATTTAACCGAGATGCCGATGCTGCCTTGCAGCTATGTGCTAGCGGATTACCAGCAGGCGCTGGAGCTGAGCCTGGGGAACCGTGCTGTACAGAGATGGGGCACAGCGGCACTGCACAAGCAGTGATGGCAGGACTTGGTGGCGAGGTGAACAGGTGGGCTGGTGCGGTCCGCCTAAAAGGCGATGGTGGGTTGCGAGGGACAGGAACTCGGGTGAGCAAGCCCAGGGTGCAGCGGCAGGGGCTGCAGGCTTGGATCTCACACCCAGCCAGCGCACGGAGCAGCAGCAATAGCTGCTGCAGGAACGGCTGATCTGCTGCTGCACCTGCTCAGCGCCTCGCCTTGTCCCTCAGCTCCTGGTGCGTGGGGCCACCAGGCAGCCCTCGCAAAGTGACTCTCCCTGGGAAGGAGGTGGTGTGGCTCCTGCTGCGCTGGCACTAGCCCTGCAAACGTGGCTTTGGGACCCAGAGATGTGCTCTCTGCAGTGGGGGAAAGTGCCGCTGGGGCAGAGAGACCCAGTGGCCTTCCTGGACCGACCCTGACTCCTCTGCGGAGGACGTCTGGCCCAGCTACTGCTGTTTCACCTCTTCCCCAGGGAAAGGCTGCTGTCTTCTTTCAGTTACCTCATTGGAGACCATCAGCTCCCTGCTGCTAAATCCCCAAAGTCCCACTGCATCAGGCAGCTGTTCCCATGCAACTGCAAATCTTCCAAGTCCCTTCTGTACTAGCTGCAGTCAGAAATCCAAGTAAAAGACTGTTTTCCAATGGTTTATTTCATAAAAGATTGATTTAAAATTAGAAATGCATAACATTTTTGGAAGAGGCAGAATTTTTGGGTCTGTGGGCCAGCTCCTGGGCAGCCTTTGGGGTGGTGTCTAAAATTGCTGTCCCCAGAGCTCTAGCCCTGGAATGGTCCCAAGCACTGGCAGCTCCTTTCAGCACAGGGTGTCAGCAGAATGTCCGGAACTTTGGGAAGCATCCCTGCACCCATCCCTCTGGCAGTTTGTTCCTAGAGAGTGAATGATTCTGATTCCTCTGACCTGCTCTTCCATAACTGCACTGAGGAAATTAAAACCTGGGCAAAGGCCAGTGGTGCTGTGCACCCCGTGCTTGACAGTGGGGAGCACTAATCTTCTCTAAATTGTCCCCAGGTCCCCCGTTGTGACACTCCCCAGAAGCTGAGTGGACACTGGCCCAGCCAGAGCCTGCAAGGTCTGACCAGCAGAAGGATCTGCAAGAGGCTCAACAGCTTGTAGCACCAACTCACAGCCTGCTGTAGAAATCATCACTGAATAAAAGAATTTTCAAAATTGTTAGTGGCACCATGGGCTTCCCTGGAGGTAGGACTGGAATGTTTTGTAGCTGGCAAAACAAGCGCGAAGTCTTTTTTTTTTTTTTTTTTTGCTGTTGTTCTTATTGTTGTTTTCCTGGTGTGCTGCAGGGAAATGCTTTAGACCTCAGGATGGACAAGGGGGTGGTAGCAAGAGCCCGGCTCTTGGCAGATCAGGTGCTGCCATCTCCCACATTACCCCCCTGCGCTTGTTGTGGTGAAGCTGGTCCCCACCAGCACTTATTCACAGTGAAAGGAAGCTGGGAAGATGTTGGCTCTAAAACTCCCTCAGAAAGAAAACTTTGCTGCAGTGTTGAAGGTGTTCACAGGCCAGCACTAGCAGGAGTCAGCACCAGCACTGTCACATCATACCGAGGAGCTGAGGCACAGCCAGGCTTAAAAAGGTTTTTAAAAAAAAAAAAAAAAAGTTAAAATGCTGTAGGAAAGAAATATTTTTCTGTGGGCTCAGAATCTTGATGTGTTGGATATCGACAGCTGCTAGGAGAGGGGAGAGCTGCAGGTGGGTGCTGCTGACAGGGTGAGAAACCTCCCTGACACTGCTACCCCTCTTAGCATCGTCCCCTTGTTGTCACAGATACTGTGGGTGGTGCGCTGGGATGGTTGTATCCACCCTTGCCTGGCCAAGGGTAAATCAGTAAAGTGCTTTAAATGACGTCACTTGCACTTGGTCCTGCAGCGGCCTCCTTGGGGCTGGAGAGACGAGCTCAGCAGGAGAGCGCCTGTGCTGCCGGGAGGGAACATGCAGCTCCCACTGCACATCCCGCCAGCCCTGGGCTCTGCCGCTTTACGTCTCCATATACGTCCCCTACAGACCTGAGCAAGGCCCTCGCCAGTGACTAGAAGAAAAAACTGATCCGAGAGGCCACTGTTTTGCAGCCTGTTGATGAGAATATTTTCTCTTCTTCTGGGAAGTAGGGGATGCTTTCAGCCACCTCCTGGACAACACCCGGACGCACTTCAAGGCCTTGCTGAACAAGTTCGTTGATGACACACTGCTTTACATGGTGGCGCTTCAGTGGGAGGAAGGGCACAACAAAATCAATGAGATGTTCGTTAATGATCCCAGATTTCCAGAATCCACCTGCAAAAGCAAAGGAAGAGACAGGTTTTACCTTCAGAGAGTCTCTGCAGTCCTGGAATTCAAAGAACTGCTTTGTGAGAAGCTAAAGTACTTGTCTGAAGACAGCTCTGTTTCAGTTTTGTACAAGGAAAGAGCTGAACCCATCAGTTGTCACCCCTCTTCCCCTGCAGCAGACTTTTCTCCAGAAATAGGGGGATTTAGCTTGACTAGTCAGAATTTAAGCTCTGGTCCCTGTGACGAGGGCAAAGCAAGGAGAACCAGGCAGGCGGTGGGGATTGGTACATCTTGGTGCCTTTCCAGCGGGTATGCTGTGCTGTTTGCCATCCCCCAACTGTGAATACGCTTTGTCTCCAAAGAGCTTTGCTAAACGTGACAACAGGTCTGTTGGCTTGGAAGGCTGGGCTATTCCTTCCCTTCGCCAGGAAACCTCGAGGAGATCACAGTTCCCTTCCCTCAACACCTCCCCCGGTCCCTTTCTGGCTGCCTGGGAGGTGGCAGGCGGTGTTGGTGGCTGCCTGGAATGGGCCTGGCTCCCTCTGCTGGGCTCTGACCCTGCAGGAAGGGCTCTGCTCCATGGACTCACTCTGAGGGTTTTCAAACACGGCTTTGGAGATGGCTGGCTCCAGGTCCTGCAGGCTGATCTCCTCCCGGTCCTTGCGGGCATGCCAGAGATCCAGCGTCATTTCGTTGATCTGCTCCCCTCCTGCATTGCTGCACAACAACAAGATGCTTATTCGGTGTGTATCCTGGAGAATGGTGTTGAAGGACAGAGGTGGCATCTGGCACCCTCCAGCCTGCATGAGTGCAAGCTGGGATCTCCCAGCTGCCTGGCCTAAAATGACTCCTGGAAAGGCAGCCAAACAGGGACAGGAGGGCTTTTTCAGACTCTCCAGGTCTGTCTAGTCGCAATGAAATAGTGTCTCTTGGTATTTGTTGAGGCTCAGGGTTTGGAGAAGGAAAAGCAAAAGACGTGTGTGCGCTGAAGGAGGTATGACCTCTGCCCAAATGAGAAGCGGTGCGCTGGAAGGCCCCGTGATGCCACAGAGGGGCCTCTCTTACCTTATGAAGATGAAGATTGCTTTGCGGTAGTTGGTCCCGTACACAACCCACGAGGGTCCCAGGAATGGTACGATCACGTCAATAAGGCCTGGGTGCATCTTGTCCATCTCGTCAAAGAGAAAGGCCGACCGTCCACAGATTGTCAAGTTCCCCTGGATCCAGCGCTTCAGGCTTTCCTAGGAAAAATACCCACCAAGCTGTAAGGCAGTGAGATACCGAGGGTGGCGAGGGAGGCTCAAGCTACCCCAGAGCAAAAGCTGAGGCCTGAGCTCCAGCAGAGTTGAAGGTGCTGAAAGCAGCTTGTCCCTGCGGAACAACACCTACTTGGAGCAGGAACAGCCAGTGTTGGGGAGGCCTCCTTTATTCTGGGTTTCACACAGTGGCTGTTACCGGCTTTAACAGCCCGTTGTAGATCTTTTATTACAGATTTAAAGAAGGAGGCAGCAAACTAAAGCTGAGGGTTCAGACACCTACAGTTCCCCATGTTGTTCTCTTTCACAGTCTATCTGCACAGCTCCCAGCTCCCAAGTGCTTTTTGCCAGCTCCAGTCCTGGTGCAAAACCACGTGCCTCCGCTGACCCAGAAGAGCTCTGGCTCTTTACCACAGCTGAAGTTACTTCAGTGTAGATGCCAACCCACACAAAACCACTCACATCGCCTGGGGACACGTATAAATCTTGACTGAAGCACTTCACGCAACACAATACAACAGATAACTCCTCCAAACACTCTGAGGTCAAATCTCCCGGTGCGTTGATTCCCTGCTATACCGAGGGTTTGGCAGCTACTCTTCACATTCTGATTTCTGCCCTTTCTCAGCTTTAAGAGACAGAGTGGCACGGTGAAGGGTAAGAGTCTAGAGCTGCTGTTTAGGAGCTGCTTGCTCTGTGAGGAGGGGATTACAAGCCTAGCGATACGCAGGTTTTCACAGGCATGAAGCTGTTTGGAAAGCAATGGGAGAATTTTAGTGCCTTTCATCTAAGGGAAGCACTTTTGTTTGTGTGTTCAAAGGGCTGTGTAAATATTTAAGGAATGAGACCATGATCATGGCAAGGACTGCTGTGGGGAAGATGAAAGTGATAACTGAGTGCCAGAGTATATCACAGTTACTAGTGGATCCTTCAGCCAGTGTGTGGAGCCACTCACTCAGCCCTGCTTGTCTGAGAGGGTAAAACAAAGAGTTTTTATTCCTATAGCACTTCAGGAAACTGCCTGAATGTGTGTGTACTGAGGATCAAGATGAGCATCACCAAAAAAAAAAAACCAAACCCCAATCAAGCAGTACTCTGCTGAGAGGTGTGCCTTACCTTGTACTGCTCTATCTGCTCAGCATGGGGGAAGTGCACTATTGGTGAGAAATGGTGAACGTAGGGGCTCTGGAGCCCACCCTCGAAGAGGTAGCGGATGAGCATGGAGCTCACATAGGTTTTGCCTGTTCCAGTCGAGCCATGGAAGGACATCACGAGAGGTTTCACTGGATTCTGGTTCTCCAGGAACTCCCTCACTCCCTTCGTCACCTGCTGCCTCACCAGGGGCTGCCCCACCAGATTCATGGCCAAGTCACACTCCAGCCCTGAAGCAAAGTCAAATCAAGATTTACCACATGCAGGTTGAAATAGCTGTCATCCCACACTGCGGCTGTCCCGTCTCTGGGGGCTGCTGCCTCGGGCCCTCTCTGTCAGCCGGCCGGGGCTGCACAAGGCCCTGCTGCCCGGTCGTGCCCCTCCACGGGATGGGGGAG